GGATCACGTGCTAACTACTTCCTTCTTCAGTCCACCAGCCCTGGCCACAAGTCAAGCCCTTCCAAAGAGACTGAGGCCTGGAGAGAAGTCTCTTCCACTTTCACCCTTGTCTAGTCAACCTCCAGGTCTTCTGGGTGTAGGTGGTGAGGCCCCTGGGCAAGCGGTACCAAGCTCCTCGTATGTCCTGTGGGGCACCAAGGTAGGGACCCTGGGAGGTCAGGGGGGAATGGTTGCAGGGCAGAGGGACATGGACAGCCTGTTTCCTCCAGCCCTGAGCTCCAGGTAGCATTGCAGTGCACGGATACCCATTATTGCCAGTGTCCCCACCACTGCAATAGTGTACCCCTTGGCTTCTGGCTTGACTCACACTTTTGGACAATTCACAAGGGCCTCATGGGTGCGGCTGAAGAGCTTGAGGCTGCGTCCAGAAACTGGGAAGCATGCTGCAGGAATGCCCTAACCACTGGGACAGCAGCCCTACGTTAGCTGATGGAGGATCTCCTGTCCCAGACTCTGAAACATTCCAGTCCCCGGGCCCACCCACTCCCATCTTCTGACCATGGTGACACTGGTTCCACAGGACAGGCAATTTTGAATGAAAAACTTCTCAGGTCTGAAGTCCTGACTCACCACTGCTTTTCCACCTCCCTCTCTCTTGGAGCCCACCTTGCATCTCCATGCTCGTCTCTCGGGGCTGCTCATCACCCAGGTTGTGCACTGCACAACTCCATAGTCAACATAGATTTATAGAGCCAGTGGGACAGTTTTCCATCAAATGGTAGCCAAGGCTTCGAAGAAGGGGCACATTTTTATAATCAGCACAAAGTAACCTTTACCCTGATGGGGAGAGAAGGATGAAATGTGGGGAGAGTCTAAAGTGGGTACAGGATCCTGATTTCATACTTCACCTGGCTTCCTACAGGGATCGAGGTGGTCCTCATAGAGCCCGGTCCAGGGAACCTAGCTCCTCTGACAGGGTGACTGTACCCTGTGATGGCTTGGGACACTGCTTCCTGATGGGATCTGTACCAGTGGAAATGCATATGCTTAACCCTTGTGTGTAGGTATGTGTGTGTGTGTTGGAAGGTTACCTCTTCTGCCAGGCCATAATTACATCATCCCCATCTCTATGTCAGTGAATGTCTTGTGACCAAGATGAGTCTTTCCAATGAGATTGCTGGGGTACACAGTCCAAGTGGATGAGATGTATGATCACACAAGAGACACATGGTCTGTGGCATGTTGGTCCTCTAAGCTGATACTCCAAGAGCTGAAGGAAGACATCCTTTGGGCCCTCTAACCATACTGGGCACCTGTAGATGTTGTGATGCTGGGGGCAGAGAATCTGGAGAGGATAGATCTGGTCTCAGGAGTGGCAGGTTCACTGCATGGATGATTCTGGCACCATCTGACCAAGTGAGGCAGAAATGATGCTGGGGTGGGTGGTGGAAATGGGCCTGGGGCCTGGGGAAGAGGAAGAGGAAGATGTGGAGGAGCAGTTTCCTAGAAGCCGAGAGAAGGAGCACCTATGTTGTAGTAGGGAAGGGAGACCACCTTGGATTAGGACCTCCGGCCTGAGTGTGGAGAAGGGAGAGGAGAAGTTGATCACTTTGGGGAACCCCGGTCTTCACGCCCAGTGCCCTAGCCTGTCCCCAGGCCATGGCAGGGCTCTCCTGGAAGGATGGTGCTCACGCAGCCTTACTGCTCCTTCATTTGAGCCCATGCCCCATCTTTCCTCAGCCCATCTCTCATTGGATGACTACCAAAGCACACAACTCCGTCCTGGCAAGGGATCTGACGTGCTACATCTCTCCAGCTCTCACTGACCGCATCTTCTGCTTCTAGGGTTTTCTGTTCTGCCAAAGAGTAGCTGGTCCCCAGCACCTTTGACCCCAAACTTATTACTTTTAAGCTGTATCAGCAGAATTGCTGCCTCCTGTGGCGCCTGGCAGGCCTAGCTGCTAGGAGCATGCTCTACGCAGTCATCAGGAGCTGTCTGCTGGGAGTGATGGGCTGGGGAGGCTGCCTTGGCCAATGGGGAGGAGGATGCTGGAGATCTGGGGAGAGGTAGGAGTCCTCAGTAGGAGGAAGGAAGGGGCTAGGGTGGGTGTTCGTGGTGTCATGGTGTCTTAGTTACACAACACCAAAAAAGTAGGTGGATTTAAGGAATAGACATTTCCTCAGTTTTTGAAGTTGAAAGTCCAAATCAGGGTCTTGGCTGTGTCGGGTCCTTCTTTGCAGTAGCCCTGGATGTCCCTTGGTCCCCTGCTATTCCTTGGCTTCTAGATGGTCCTTACGTGGCATCTGTCCCCCTCACCTGACCTCAGCATGGGTGTCTTTGCATCTATTCTGGTCTTTCAATAATTCAGAAGGGATTAGGTTTAGGAGGCGCCCTACACTGGTATGATCTCATTAACATAACAAAAGAAAACCCTATTTCGCAGGTATTGTTATGTGCCGTCCAGTCAGACCTGACTCATAGCGACCCCTCCTTGGGTTGCCAAGGCACTATCACTATAGAGGGAGCTCTGGTAGCATAGTGGCTAAAGCACTTGACTGCTAACCAGAAGGCTGGCGGTTCAA